GGCACGGGGACGGAAACGTAGTGGTAGTGCGGCGGCGAGGAAACAGGATAGGGCACTTGCTTGTGGATCACGTCACGCTCCACATGGTAATGGGGACACGCACGGCCGTACTGATCGCAGCAGGCGGCTTGCTTCTCCGGAGTCCAGAGGTTCTTCCAGTCATGGTATCCTTCGTAGCAGTTCAATGTGGGCTGGATCTCGTCTGCACCAACGGGTCGATGCGAGAAGAACCACCACAGAAGGCCTGTGACAGTGCATGGCAGCGCATGGCATCAGATTGTTCAGCCTTCTGCTTCGCAAAGGATCGCAAAGATGTAAACATCAGCAACACCTATGAAGCATATAAAAGCCATGGCACCCAATCCGATGAGGAGCGCCGAAAGCATGAGGCAAGGCACGCACCAAGCAAGGCCATTGGGCTTCTTGCCCGCCTCCTTCTTCTCCCAATCCCCCATTCCTCGGCATGCGAGGCTCTCCTGAATCTCCCGCTTGGGCTGACTCTGACCCGATAATGCAAGCATCTCACTTCTCTGCACTCTCATTGCTCTTTGTGATCTTTCGCAAGACCTAAGCCCTTTTCTTCAAACAAAGAGACCTCGGCCGACAAAGACCATGTCAGAGGAGACGGAATATTGCCCCATAGATGCCCCGACGTATTGGTACCCCCCTTTGCTCGTCTCGATGGATGAAACGTCCCCTGCAGCATTCAGAGAGCATAGCGGTGAGGTGCATTCACGTCGCACAGTTGTCACGCACAGAGATTAACATTCCATGGTCAAGACCCTGCAGTACCCTGCAAGCCACCCTCGAAGCATGCGGCAGCACAGCCGGCGGGCGCGCCCTCAACGTCGCTATAACCCATGATGAGGCAAGAAGGCTTGGGAAGCAAATTTAAAACCTCTTTCGAGCCAAGCGGAGGCTGCAGCCAACACAACTACAAGTACCAGTCTTGTCCGGCAGCATGTGTCGACTTGGCCGGAACTGGAATGTGGCAAGCTACACGGGAAATGCTTCTGTGGGGTTGCGGGAAAAGGGGGCACCTGGGCGGCTGAGAAACTCAAGGTCAGGCTGCTCGGGGGGGAAGCAGAGCAAGGTCGGGGCCTTCACTCGTCCACGCCTTTTTGAGCTCTACTGGTCTGGTCTCGGTTGCTTTGCCGGTACCAGCCAAGGGCAGACCCGAGCGCCGAGCCTTGCCCGGCCTTGCCCGGTGTGCCGAATTCAGCAGCCGAGGCCCTGGGACCAGCAGCAGTAGGCCTCGCCGGCAGCAGTCAAGGAAGAGCAGGGCCCGACTCCTTGCGAGCTTAGCTTTTGTGTGCCTTCTTGTCCGAAGACCAAGCTGCAGCGGCATTTTGCAAGGCAGCAAAGCAATCGTAGTCCGCTGCTCGCTTCACCCACGTCCAGCGATTTTCGACCTCCGGAAGCACGTCCCATGCGGCTGGGACCCCTTTGCATCTGCCATGCCTTGGCCCGGGCCCATGTCTTGCCAAGACCGGCATCCTCAGACAAGGATAACAACTCTTTGTGCGCTACCGCTGCTACAGCTCCAAGCTATGCCAAAAGTCTGTTGGACCCTGTGTTTTACGATACGGAAGGCACCTTGACAGCTGCGGAAGCGAGTTTCTGGCAAGGCTCGTCGTCTGGGAAATCGTCGGAACGGCAGCCCAATCCATGCTCTTGGCAGCAAAACTCTTGCTTCTGCTGCTTCCATCCCTGGGAATCGAACAGCGTGAGAAGCGTCAGTGAAGAATCAAGCGACAAGCGGGCCACTGCTAGCCATTTTCGGGCGAGCAGCATAAGGGTCCCCAGAGCAGTCAAAGGAGCGATCGGAGCCGTCCTCGCAGCCCATCTCCTGCGCGCTCGAGAGCTTCAGAAGCACAGCATGGCACGAGCCGGCTTTCTCGGCCTCCACGGAGCATTGCCAGCAAGCATCGCACTCCAGTTGCACCTGCGTCGGCAGAAAGCACCCCTGCATGACCACTTGCAACTTCCCGCCTTGCTATAAGCCAGAGTGCAAGCGTTCTCCTCGGCACAAAGGCATGGACACAAAAGGCAAGCATGGACTGACCGCATGTCCTGGTTTGGGAAGATGTTGTGAAGTATCCAGTGGAAGTGCTGTCTGCCTTGAGTGAGCCCAGCATAGCTTTCGCGACCCAGCTCCCATCCAAAAGGCCGTAAACCAAGCTGCAAGTTGAAGCTGTTCCGTGGCAGTGTTCGTTGCACTTGCTTCTTGGAGCCTCAAGAGGGCAGCCTTTCTGGAAGTGCTGGCAGCACCTGACTGCAGGCTGCAGGTGCGTGTCAGTTACAACCTCGGGCCTGGGGCCATCCGCTTGGGGACCTGGCCACTCTCGCTGGCCAGAAGGCATGTTGTGGACCTCAGCGGACTTGCGCCATGTGGGGCGCTCCGTCTCAAGGCCCCTAGACCGACGGCCATGAGTTGAAACTGACCTCATAACTTCGATGCACCTCAGTCTCAACGGCCACGGGGATTCGAAAATCAGGGCTCTCGTGCTCGAAGGCTCGAAGGTCGCAGCGGCCCCGCGCCGGCCACCCCACCAAGGGTCGATAATCACTCAAGGCAATGCTGAGGGATTTCCACCCGTGCTGGTCTCGAATCACTAACGAGCTGGGTAGTCGCGGAAGAGTCGCAAGAGAGTCGCAGCAGTGGAAGAAGTACTCAGTAGTAAAAGAGACAGGCGATGAATAAACACCTGCGTGATCACAACTTCAAGTCAGATCTGAGTTGTTTGAGCCGTTGTCCTTGTCACCTTGTGAAGGGGTAGTATTCCTCACCGCTGCTCATGGTGGTCTTCACAGCAACAGCCAATAGCAAAACTCAACAGTATCAACGACAACATAACCACCACGACAATCAGTCCGGTAGGTAGCTACAGTGCTGCAGCTACAAGCACATATGACTTTCACGCTGGAGGGGTAGAAACTTGCACAACACAGCTCACGCAGCAATCAACGTGATGTGACAACCCTATTGCAATCGGCTGCACGTGTTGCTGAATGAGGCCAAGCTGCCGAACCCGTGCAGTCGAAGGAAGTGCAACCTCTGCCCTCATGGAGGCAGCACCAATCCTGCAAGAGACTGGCCAACTTCACTGCTGAAGCCGTCTGTAACGGTAGAGACTATGACTGAAAACAGGATCAAGAAGGGAGATGCTGTGGTCACCAGTGTCCTTCTTGTTGTCTGACCAGCCACTCTGCCAATCCGACAGCCCAGCAGTGCAGTCCTCAGCTGAAGATCTAGAGTCTAGACTCTATCTTTGTAGAGAGAGAGAGAGAAGGGGGGAGAGACAACGAGAGAGAGAGAGAGAGCGAGAGTAGAACACTTAGTTTTGACTTTTTTTCCCCTTAGATGTAACTTTCCAGCTTTTTCAGCAACATGACTGACTTGTAACTTTTTACGGCCACAAAAACAGCAAATCTCTGCAGAGACTTGCAAAATAGGCATCTTAGTTATGACTTTCTTGGTGTCTGTAGCACCAAGCCACTATTCTTGCTAGTGTGATAACTTTTGTTGGTGTACATGGCACCAAACCACAATTTCTTTGCTGTATTTCGAATTAGAAGCGTCACACAAGGTTCATGTAGACTCTCGCAACTCGGGCAATGCAGGCGTTTTCGTCTTGGGTAAAGGTTTCTCGCTGGATTCACTCCTGCGGGTTTTCATGTCGGGCAAAAGGTTCTCGCTGGATTCACTCTCAGGGTTTTCGTCTTCGAGAAGAGGTTCCTGCTGGATTCAGTCCTTAGGGTTGTCGTTTTCGGTCAAAGGTTCCTGCCGGGTTCACTCCTTAGGGTTTTCGTCTTGGGTCAAAGGTTCTCGCCGGATTCACTCCTTAGGGTTTTCGTCTTGGGTCAAAGGTTCTCGCTGGATTCACTCCCTAGGGTTTTTGTCTTGGGTCAACGATTGTCGTTTTCGGTCAAGGATTACTGCTGGATTCACTCCTTAGGGTTCAAGGTTCTTGCTGGATTCCATCCTTGGGCTTTTCGTCTTCGGTCAAGGGTTCCTGCTGGATTCACTCCTCAAGGTTTTGGTGTTTTCAAACGGTTCCTGCTGGATTCACTCCTTAGGGTCCTTAGGGTTTTCGTGGTAAAGGGTTCTCGCTTGATTCACTCCTTAGGGTTTTCGTGTTGGGTAGGTTTTTGCTAGATTCACTCCTTGGGGTCTTCCTCTTGGGCACAAGGATAAGCAAGAGAGTCTTCTGGTTTAGCCTCAAGCCACGCGCGGGAGCTCGTTCCCTCGGTGCGGCAGGCGGTGTAGTGGGGCTTGGTGGGGGGAGGTCGGGCACGTGGGGTAGTGAAGGTAGGCGGGGCAGGCGAGGTTGGCGGGGTAGGTACCAAAAAAAGTTACGTCTAAGAAAAACGCGAGCAAACGGGAGCATTGCTGTCTCAGGCTCGAATGGTGGATCTTGTGTGCTCCAAAGCGGCCTCCGGACCAGTTGCAGGGCATTCTTTGGCCTTGACCGGTCTCTGGCAATGTGTATTACATGCGCTGGGTCTCGCAGGCCCATCCCACCGTTCGCACCGGCTCGGAGTTCCAGGTCTTGGCAGTGAAGACCTAAATGATGACAGCAGTACGCCATTGCTCGGACGTTGACGCGGGGAGCGTCGCTTGTGAAGTTCTGGCTGCAGTCCGGAATGACGATGGGAGGATGTTGCGCGGATGCATCTGCTGCATGTAGCTGACTGAAAATAAGCATGACCAAAGCAGAAAGCACAAGACAGGCCAGCAGTGGAACAGAAAAGCGGCAGCTGTCGAATTCCCAAGTTGGCACTCGTACTTCTCGCTGCAGGGTCCTTTGGCCATTAGAGCCTTTATCCTCCTTGACGCCCTCATAGGAACGCTGCTTGGCGCTCTGTGGGCTTTGGCTCTGATCGTCTGAGAAGAGGCCGAAGAAGCATTGCGGACCGCATACTGGAAGCCAGCCTCTCCACATGGCGCGCGGAGCACTGCGATGCCCACATGGCTTGAGTTACAACAAAAGCCATGTTTTGTTTCAGCATGTTCTCCTCATGCAGTTCCAAGCTACACACGCACAAGAATCAGCTTGCAGCACACTGTGAAGTGCAATTGCCAACTTTTGCACATCTGGCAGCCGAAATTGCTACAGCACTTTCTTTGGTGCTGCAGACCTACGTTGCCCGACTCTCAGGCATCGCTCATCTCACATCACTACAGGCGGTGTTTTATGGATGCTGCGCCAGCTGTTCTGGTCCTGATCGCAGATACCATGTCATATCACATCTCTAAACTTGAACACGCTCGTTCTTAATTTTCCGACTTGAGTGCTTATGAAGATACAGGCAGCTGACTGTGCAAACATCCGGGGCATGTCCCGCCGTGAAATTTGGGCACCGCATGAATTGAACAGGTGGTGCTTGCACCACACGAAACCGACAGGCGAATCCGGTCTGTGTTACGGCCTGAGACTTGGCAATCTGCTGGTTTCGACCATGACAGCCCGACAGCTTCAATTCTGGAAGAAGAGCGTGACATTATCGTGAAAACAGCTGGCATGAGTCCTTACGGACCAATACACAGCGCACTTCAACCCTTCCTAGTTTTGCTGTCTTCCGCTCCCTTCTGCAGCAGCTCCCAATTCTAAAAAGCCAATCCTTGAGATCAACTTCTCCGGACATGAGACTGTGCAAGAGACCCACTCGGCTTGCGCAACTCTGCGACTGTTGTCGACCAAAGCAATCACACTCTAGCACATCACACTGCGAGATAAGCTCATCCAATCATAATGTGCTTCCCCTTTCAGCAAACAATAGCCACAGCACAACATGCCAAAGTGCTAGCTGCTAGATGTTATGATGTGAATCTATGTGTTCTGAGGTCTTCTTTAATTCACACTCGTGCACACACACACACACAACTACAACATATGCATACATACATACATACATACATACATACATACATACATACCATACCATACCATACCATACCATACCATACCATACCATACCATACCATACCCACCATACCTTACCATACAACCGTACATACGTACATACGTACATACGTACATACATACACACATACATACATACATACATACATACATACATACATACATACATACACATATGTGTATGTATATATATATATACACACACTACATACATAAGCTTACTTCTCAATGCACGGAACTAGCTCGCTAAGCATCGGAGCATCACTTTGGACGCCCTCGTGCAGGCCGCAATTTCGCCTGCGCATCAAGCGAGCTGATCAGGCAATGCGTACAATTTTCAACTGGCAGGCGGTTTTCTGCTGCACGAGCGGGAGTTGCAAAATGTCATCTGGCATGTCTCGAGCTTGCCGCATCATTTGCGTCAACTTGCGCGACAATCAAACACAGAAGCAAGAAGCACACGTCTTCTCGCACTGCGTTGCAATGGCATTTCGTGCAGCAGCGTACGAGCAGGAACAGTGCTCAGCCACCCTGGCCTGCAAAATTTCCTGGCACATGCTGTGCGCAAGGACAGTATCAGAATTGGAGACACGACGCGAAAGTCTTGCAAGAGTCTTGCACCCATGCAGGACGCCTTTGCACAAGTCAGTTGGTCCTCAATCAGACTCAGTCTCGGCTGCCAGATGGTAGCGGGGCCCGTCGTGCCTTAAGCGCGGTCGCAAGGGCACCGACCCAGAGCGAGAAGCTGACATCTCAGGCACGAGCCCAGCGAAGAAAGTGCTGCGGCGGCCGAAGGAAACGCAAGCGAGAAGCCCCAAGAAACCAGCCTCAGGCCATCCACGATATCGGACATCCCTTGAAAATGCGCGTGTGCCTGTGCCACCCTCGGCTACCCCTCACCAATCAACAAAAAATGTAAGCGAGGACAGGGCTGTAAAGCATGCAGCCAGCTGTCGCGAACGTGACGCCTGCCGGGCACTCGTTGAAGGGCACAATAAGCTACCCGGACACCCGTCGACAGTCTATAGGCACTGCAGCATGATTACCCGGGCATTGCCTGTAGCTGCCCTGCGCGCTCGGTGAGTTCTACCAGCCTCAGACGTTCAAACGGGCTCGAAGCCCAGCAACAATAGGGTCGCCTCGAAGCCGGACACTCTGGCTCTGCACTCTGAGCACCGCAGCTTGCGTTCAAGGTCGTCCGCACCCTGTGCGAGCCGACAGATGATACTGTTGTGAGGCCTTCTCTTCACACGCGACTGCACGGCGTCGATTATGCTCTATAGCTCAGTTCGTGGTTCCTGTCATAAGATCATTTCGAATTCTGAATCTCAATCTTTCTTGCCAGCATGCTCGAGAACAACATGGCTTCATGCATTCTGGACAGAATCGAACTGTCACTCCCACCAGGATGTTCTCGCCAATGATTGACTTCACCGGCTCCTGGCACCGCAAAGCGTGCGGTGCTCCAAGCGACGCAGGTTCGACGGCTCAGCGGCAGGCATCTACGATCTTCAGCATTCGGGTGCGCTTTTTGATGCCTGGGCCGGTCTCTGAATCCGCAGATGCCAGAAAAAAACCGAAAATTTGGTTATCGAGTGTCTCATGTAAGGCATTTTACATAGTCTTACTTGCAATGTGCAATGGCTGTAGTCTACGGCTCGCACCGTTACCACAGGTCGCGGTGCACTCGCCGTAGGGCCTCCAGTCGCCTGTGATCTCTGCGAGCTGAAGACCGGCGACATAGGATTTGAGTCCGACTTTTAGACATGGTAGGACCCGGGCCCCAAGTACAATAGCTCAGTTCGTGACCTCAATCGCGAGGTGCAAAGTGGTCGACGGCACAAGCGCGATCAAGTAAATACTCAAGGACTCTAAGACCTCCTGCACTGGAGCGGAAGAAACGGTGCGCTGAGCTGGCTACACTTCCTCGGGCAGCTAGCCGTTTCCTCTGCCCCCTCTGCCCTGCGCACAATGCTTTTTCAACAGCAGTGCTTGCGGCCAACTACAGGGAAATGCCAGAACGGCTCAAACCAAGGGTTGGACGTGCAGCCACTGCCACCACACTGGGACCTCGTACGCTGCACAAGCAAAACCATCATGATCCTGGATCTTCATGGATCTTCGTTGCAGCATGTTTCTTCTCCGCGGTGCTTTTGCCCCTACATCCGAAACACATGCTAAATACTCCCAGCGGAATTCTAACGGGTTTCACCAGAGATGCTAACTTGGATGTCGCAACGAAACACCAACGACATCCTGCCCGCAGCAGCGTGGAAGCCCTCGTGGTGCGGGCAGGCTGCCCGCAACAGAAGTACTCGTGGTGCAGGCAGCCCCCCCGCAGCGGCATGGAAGCACTCGACTCGGTTCAAGACTCGGTTGGTGCGGGCAGGCTGCCCGCAGCG